TTTTTCTTAAAGCTAAGCAGTGTTATATGCATAGCAAGGAATTTTAAAATAAAATTGTGTTGTATGAATTAAGTGTGCAATCGTTGTGAAATTGTGCAATCTACCAAATACTCCCCCAGCCAGGCACATCAAATGAATCAGTAAATTGTGTGGGATCTTTCTCTATTCCATAACCCACTAGAGACAGAGGGCCGCAAATCAAAGGAGCAGATGTCTGGTCTAAGTTCACCTTTTCCATTGGAGTTTGGGATTTGGGGGTTCAAAGTGGAAGTTGCTATAGATCCCCAAATTCAAAGGGGTTTGAATTTGCATGTCCTGCTTTGCCTTATTTGCAGAGATTGTGGTACTTTGTCCAGCTGCATCTGAGTTTCTGCTGTTTTACCCACCATTCCAGGCAGTCCCCCCACGAGACCTAGGAGTAGTCAGAATTCAGCACTCTCCTTTCCTTTTCCCTCCACAACAAACACAATTAGGGAAGCAACTGGGGATATTTGCCTTTACCACAAGTAACAATCTGTAGCATTTGGTGTCCCAACCAGTCGTGCTGCCCTGTGTACCACACAGTGCTGGGAATATGGAATAGCATATCAGAGTTGAACTCCTTTGAAGGGAAAGTAAAACAAAACAAAACAAAAATTTTAAAAAAGGGAAGAAAATGGAGAAAGAAAGTCAATTGGTGGCTGACAGTGCTTAAGACATTTTAATTCTTCCAGAAGCTGAAACAAGTGGGACTTCATTATGTAGCATCTCTGGGTGCAGACATCCCACTGTAGTGCGGCTACGTACCACTCACTCAGTGAAACTCATTCACTGACAGCTGCACTGGTGTTCTCCTCAGTTGTCCGTCCTGTCAGACTACCCGCAGAACAGACCAACTATTCCTTGCCAGGTACTGCTCCTCCCTTGTAGCAAGTGAGATGTGGGTCTTTTCTTTTCCCTGGGTGCATGCTTTTCAGTTCTCATGGCTAGACAGGGTGTGAAGCTCTAATCGCCAAGCAGTTTTTGCCAGTGTCTTCTGCATGGTGTCTTGAATATTTCATGGAGACATTTGCTTTTCAGATGAACTGATTCTCTGCCCTGAATGCACTTCATTATTGGCACTTCAGTGACACTGTACCTGCCACTAGCAGAAAAGACTGCAATTCACCTCGTTCCTTCCCTGCCATCATTCCTGCTAGCTAACATTGAAATTGGTAGTAGTTGTAATGACACATATGCTGCATATTTTTCACATGTGACTTCTGTGCAGCCTTATCTTTGAGGGGAGTCTACTAGCTATGGCAAACAAGCATCTGAAATTTCTAAGCATCTAAAAATGACTGCTGAGTGCACCTGGAATCTCATCATCATTTTCCTCACAGCTACTACCCTCACCAACCCTTATCTCACATGCAGCTGATTTCTTTTCTTCCAGTAAAGACCCATACTAATGGCTTTATACACCTGGATAATTCCTTTATGAAGAGGGCATCACAGTCAATAGAGGCCAGAAACTCACTCTCTGTGTAAAATAATAACAAATTATGCCTTGTCTTCTTTCATTGCCTTCCCTCTGGGAATATACAGACAGCTCATTTGCTAAGTGACCCTGCAGTTTTTGTTAGTACATAATAAGTTGATAACATATTATTTGTTGCTTAAATATGCCATATTCAGTTGAACTACAGGGGCAGCTCCAGGTAGTCAAAACTGCATTACTCAAGCCATGATTTATCTAGAACAACAGTGTTTGGAGTACACTTTCATAGATTTATAGGTGTTAGGGTCAGAAAGGACCTCAACACATCATCAAGTCTGACCCCCTGCCCTGGGCAGGAAAGAGTGCTGGAGCCAGATGACCCCAGCCAGGTGCCTATCCAGCCTTCTCTTAAGGACCCCCAAGGTAGGGGAGAGTACCACCTCCCTTGGAAGCCTGTTCCAAATTTTGACCACCCTTACCATGAAAAAGTTTTTTCTGATATCTAGATTAAATCTGCTCTCTGTCAGTTTGTGACCATTGTTACTTGTTACCCTGAGAGGCGTCCTGGTGAACAAAGCATCTCTGATCCCTTGCTGCGTCCCTCCAGTGAATTTATAGGTGGCCACAAGATCACCTCTCAGCTTCACTTTTCTTGCAGAGGCTGAAGAGGTCCAGATCCCTCAGTCTCTCCTCATAGGGCTTGTCCTGTAAGCCCCTAACCATATGAGTGGCCCTCCTCTGGACCCTCTCGAGTCTATCAACATCCTTCTTGAAGTACAGCACCCAAAACTAGATGCAGTACACCAACTGCGGTCTGACCAATGCCACATAGAGGGGAAGTATCACTCCTTGGATCTACTTGTCATTCATCTGCTGATGTGCGATAAAGTGTGGTTAGCTTTGCTGATGATTTCATCACACTGACTCATGTTCAACTGATAATCCACTATGACTCTGAGATCCCTTTCCACTTCTGTGTTGCTGAGAGGGTCACTTCCCAGCCAGTAGGTGTGCTGGGTATTTCTGCACCCTAGATGCAGCACTCTGCACTTGTCCTTGTTGTACTGCAACCTATTGTGTACTGCCCACTTTTCTAACCTGTCCAGGTCTGCCTGCAATTGTTCCCTACCCTCTGGAGTATGCACTTCACCCCACAATTTAGTATCATCCACAAACTTGGACAAAGTACACATCACACCCACATTCAAGTCACTGATGAAGATATTAAAGAGTACAGGTCCAAGGACTGAACACTGTGGGTCCCCACTACCCACATCCTTCCAGGTTGATACTGATCTGCCTACTACCACTCTCTGGGTGTGACCGCTAAGCCAATTTGCCACTTGCTGGACCGTGTAAACATCTGTCACCTCCTCTTAATTTATTCTATTGTAGGGGTTTGTAGCAGGGCACTGAGGTGCCTGCTACTTGTGGGGCAGCAAGTAAGGAGCCCAGCTGTGGGTTGCCAGGGTAACCGGTGAAGAGTCAGTTGACTGGAAGGGGCAGGGCCTGGCTCGTATATAACTCCCAGGCTGAGGCCAGGCAGGCCGTTCCCTGCTGGCTGCCAAAGGGGTAAGAGCTCTGCTGGAGTGCGGAAAAGGAAGAGGCCAGAATACTTGGGCAGTTGTTACGGGTGAGAGATGGAGAAACCCTGTGACAGGCTTGAATGTGATTATGGCCAGATGGCTTGGGTTTATGTTGTAGCCAAAGGGCTTGAGTTTGTGTTGACGGTTTACGTCTGGTGGTTTGGGTGAGGCTATTAGGGGTTGGAGGAAGCCTCATAGGGGACCCACGGTAGTGTGGGGACCCCAGCACCAGAGAGGGTGCAGCATTTTGGGGGTGCACTGACCCCAGCCCTAGAGCAAGGGGGCAGCGAGAAGCCCCAGAGCAAGGGGGCAGCGGTGCCTGTGGGGCGCGGCTGCAGAAAGCCGGAGTGCCTGTGGGGCACAGCTTCGAGACCAGGCTGCGGAGAGTTCGGCACCAGAGAGGGCACAGAGAGCAAGACAGACCAAACAATGTCTGGTACATCTGCGAGGCT